TATATATGGCTATTATTTTGGGAGCAGTTATATAATGTCATTTTCCCAATCAAGGAAAATATAATTTTGCCTTGTAGAGATTTAGATGGTTTACCTAAGCAACTTTGTCTCTTGAAAATTAAAAGGGGACTATATATCATCACGTACATCTCATTAATGGGGTTAAATTTTTCAATGAAAAATTACCAAAAGAAACCTACTTCTTCTCGTGCGTTTCTCTGCAGTTTTCATTGTCATTTTTACCATAAAAGTAGTAGCAGGAGGTAAAGCATTTGGTATGGAAGGTAAAACATGAAAGAAGCATGTTGTAAATGTCTTTCTCGTTCATCATCTATATCTATTCTATATTCTATATATTATTAAAAAGAAGGAAGTCTAACTCAGAATTGTAAGCACGTGATTTTTGCCCTATATGAGAATTACTCCCAAAAAATTCAAAAATAAAATGATTTTTCTTTGGTGTACAATTTTGTGATATTTTGAAGAATTATTTGTATTTGTCTGTGCGTGTTTATTCGCTAAATTAATAAAAAATACAAAAATATGTCGCATTTTGCATGTAGGATTTAATTCTACAATTGTTAGTAATTAAAATTGTTTTACAAAAATTAAAAATTACAAAAATAGGCATCGTTTGCATTTTTAGCATTTAATGTCCAAATATACAATTTTATGCTTAATTAATACTTAATTGTGCGTTAATTGTTATTGGGAGTTAATTTGCGCCTTTATAACTTAATTTAGTTCTTAATAATAGTTTAAGTATTTTTATAATTTAGTTTTAGAAAAATAAAAGAAGAAAAGAGAGCGAAAATATAAAGAAAGTCGGAATTGGGCCTCTTCTTCAATTTCAAGCTATAGGCCCAAAAAATGGCCCAATNTAAGGTTAGATATTATTCTCTAAAAGAATCTCTTAATTAATCATTGTTATTCCTCTATCATTAGATTTGATTTTATATTTAATTTGAAATTATTGTCCAGTATTTAGCACCATGATATTTAATTTTTGTCTGCAGGAAAAATAAACTTACAACCAAAAGATATCCTTAATAAGATGGTAACCTATATAGATTGTTCCTTTTAGATTATTAGGTGAGGTGTGTATACTATTTACATACAAAAAATTTCAAATATAAAAATCTTTCTATTAAAAGTTTATTTTTCTTCTTGATACTATTTAAAATATACATATATGGAGTAATATCTTTGTAGTAGCAAAATGGATTATGTTCTGTTGAAGAAAACATAATAAATTCAATATATTTTTTCGGGTTATTTAGGTGTATTAGTATTGTACAAAATAGGCTATCAGAAATAGTCTTTCTATCCTACAAAGGTAAGAGTAATATTTGCGTACATCTTACTTTTTCAAGACTCCATTTGTGGGATTACACTAGCCATGTTATTGTTATTATTGTTTTAGAATTAGGGTGTTTAAGTTATTGGTTAATAGTTATACATTGTTACCTTCTTAAAAAAAATTATATTTGAGTGTTGTTATAGTTAGCTTTTGAATTAGTACGATCAATTTTTAATTTGTGTGATTGGAGTTATTTTTATTTTGAATAAGATGATGGATAGCGGTGTAGATTTGTAATGCATTAGCTTGCAATATAAATTTTTGAAATGCAGAAAATGCAAAAGGTCATCAAGAATGTTTCATTCTTCTTTTATATTTTTCTCCTATTAGTTGAACAAATTTAGTGGTGGCATTAATCATAATAGAATAGAAGTTCATATAATATGTATTTGCTTAATCCGAATGAACACTTGCTTGGCGATATGCATAAGACCAAGTAAGTTATTTCGGTTGCCCTTCTCACGTAAAGAATGTACACAATCTTTTTTAATTGGGTTTTACCTCAAATACTTTGAAATGTGCAGAACTATATTGTATACATGCAGAGTGCGGTTACAGTGACCACTTTAACGTCTATTAGTGTCTTTTATACAAAGGTACGTTCTCTTTCTTTTTTCTTTGATTTGTTTAAAAGTTCAACGTTAATAATAATTTATCATTTTTCAAAGTTTTGTCGGGATATATTAATTAAGGAGAGAGGTAAAGAGATGGACGAGAAGATTTTGCGGCGCAAATAGATAAATAAACAAATTTTGATTACAATTGTATTCGTTCAACATGAAAAGAGAAATTGATTCTTCTGTATTAAAATTTTGAAATTCGTCTTGGTAATAGAAATTCTAAATCTGAAATAAGAGTTCTCGCAGCTAACTGCATGCTTTCATGAGCCAACAAATTTCAGAACAAAAATGAAAATATTTTTTTCATTTCATTTGAACTGTAAACATAATATTTCATTTAGCCTAAATTGTTATGCTTGCACTTATTTACTGAAATTTGAGTGCTAAAATGAATGATTGTAATATTACACGACATGCTATACAAGCGATAACATATTTTTAATTTTATACAATAATTGTGGTTGCCATGCGAAATTCTCAAGTCAACAAATTTTTATTCTTCTTTCTCTTATTGATTGTGTTGTCTTACTATCGACACGTATTCGGATTTTAAAAAGGCTTAATCTTGATCAAGAAATTGATTATTTTTTTTTTTCAAATGCTATTTAGTAGTAGATGTCAGTGTTATTTTTTAACATTGTCTTTTGTAGGTTTTGCCTTTTTAGGTTAGTGGTTTTAGCAATTTATGATGAAAGTGAAGTGTTGTGAAATTTGCAAAGATGACAAAAGTAGAGTGGCTTCGATATGATTTCTTATATTTTCTTCTTTCTTTGTGTATTGTCTTGGCTTTTACTTTGTTAAAGATACTATCCATTCATTGTGTAATTTTCAAGTTGTCAGGTATAGAAAGGTAACGTGTAATGACTATACTTTATAGAAGTAATTTATGTGTCATTTCATATGGCTCATCAACTACATCAAATTTATAAAGTTTATCTACTTAATAAACTTACGGATGAAGAAAAAAATTTGTGATACTTACACCAAACAAAAGTCATATTATCAGTGCATGAATTGGTTGGATTATTTTTTTTGCAACAACTGATTAGCTTTCACTTTATGATTTCTTCTTAGAGAAGGTTACCAAATTTTTTAACATTAAGCATGGATCAATTCAATTCGTATTTCACCGAGATTTTTGTCAAAAGAACTAGGATTGTTATCTCATTATTATAGAATTAAAGTCTTAATTAGATTTTAAATATCGTATTATTCAAATTATATGTAACTAACTGGAAAAAATAATCATCGATAAATAGGAAAAATGCACAAAGCATGAGATAAAAATAATGGCGATGTTATATTTTAATTTTTTTTTTAAAAAAATGAAGTAAATAACACAAATAAATATTACCGATTATTGATAAATGATCGTGGAAATTTACTGAAACAATACAATTCAATATGTTCAAATAAATCCAATCACAATTTAATATTTTTTGATACGATCCGCGCATCGCACGGGTACGAATACTAATTTCATCTAATAATATTGTCGTGAGTTGTTCATTAATAATGTGAATAGCACATATATATTAACTCGTCCTTGTCCGTATGATGGAGATTGCTGTAAAATGGTTTTGAAAGGCAAAAGATTGGGACATAAGTTTAAACCATCCATCTCATGTGATTAATTTATTGATTTTGAGTTAAGTTTTTTATAATTAATAATATATTTTATAATAGTTGTTGGCCGGTTCTAGTTCAGTGTTTAATTTATACGAAACTTTTTCAGCTTTTACACTAAATCAAGACACGTTGAACGGATAACAAATTAGTACTCTTAAGTTCTAACAACTAAAAACAAAGTAAGAGGACAAAAGATAAGCTTATAAGCATGGTTTGGTAACCAAATGCTGCAAAGTAGGTATAAATACAAATTATTATTGCAAGATAATAAACTCTTTGTCTTATTAGCAGAGACGGATCCAGGATTTTAGGTTTATGAGTTCCTGTCGCAATCTCAAATTAATATACAATAATAACTGAGTTCACAAATAGATATTTAATAAAAAATTTAACAAAAATATAGAATCTACGCAAAAGCTACTAGGTTCTCGGGAACCCATATATTATGCCCTAGATCCGACCCTGCTTATTAGATCTTTTTATTCTTCTTATATTAATCTATAAAATAAATAAATTTGAATGTCTTAGTTTCCGTCCAATGTTTAGTACTCGCGTTTGATTGAATTCGAATTCACACTATAAATCTTATGTTAGGAATGAAGAAATAAATTTTTACTCAGGATTCGAACTTGATTCTTCTTATTGAAATATTTTTTTAGTAATTCTTTTTATGGCGCAAATGAACATGTATAAGTTGTTTTTATTATAAAAAGCAATATATATATTAATAAAAATAAAATAAAAGCAAAAGACAATTTTCAGTTTCACAAATTCAAAAAATTCAAGAAATACACCTCCCCTCCCAATAAATCGAAAACCTTCATAACCGATCTCTCAGGAAGATCTCTCTTTATCATCGGCGCAACCTGTAAGACTCTCTCAAACCCTAGTTTTATATGCTTTCTCATTTACGATTCAATCTTTTATGTTTAACAGTTAATTCGAATTTTTTTTGAATATTTTTCAAATGACAGATCGTAGTAATGGAATTTAGTGAAATTTTAGGGTTTTTTGGGCTTAGTTAAAAACTTTATTTATATTTGGAAGATTTTCTATTTCAAAATGAATTCTTGCATTGAATATGATCAGCATTATTGCTAGTTTACTCTAATTTCGAATCAACTCATTGTAATATTTGTAGGAGAGTGAAGAGCTTTTTTTTTTTTAAAGAAATAAAAAATCGTTAGTTTTGATGCTAGAGTGGATGTGTATGGCCGGGATCAGTAATTGAAGCAAGATCTTTTAGCCCCATTTTTAATGTTATTATAAAAATTGTAACTTTAAGTTGCAATATTTACTTGGTTCGTAGAAAATATACAGAACTTCTCATACTTTTTATTTTATTTGCATAACATCAGTATGAGAATAATTTAAATGGAGTAACCTGGTCAGTGATGATTCATATTGCTGCCCCTACCTTGTTTGGGACTGAGGCGTAGTAATACTTGTGGTTGTTGTATACTTGGTTCATAGAGGTTTTTGACTTTACGCCGTTTGAAGTTTCAGGAGAAACTTAAGTTGCTTTTAAAGGAAGCATGTCTTAATTGTAAAACTTTTATCTTGCTAGTAAATTGAATTGAGACATTGAGTTTTTGGGAGAATAGTTGTCTGAAAAGTTTGTCACGTTTGCTGTATAATTGTGGTTCATATGTGCTATCAGATAATGCAATTTGGAATAAAACATCTTGCCAAGAAATTACTGACAGTTGATCACAGTGTCAGGTTAAATAATTAGGTGAAATATTGGAGGTATAGAGTGTGACTTTCTTTTTCTTGGGTGATGGTGATGTGTAACTTATTCCCCTGTGAATACTGACTAATAGGATTTACACTTTCAGGCATGTGAAGTTTGCTTTCTGGAGCTGGAGGATGCTATATGTGTTTCTGAGGTTGCTTAAGGAATTGGTTTCTGCTTAGTGCGTGACCTTTGAGTTGAGCAACTTTTGTCAAAATGGGAACCCCATACCGCAAGTTCGTAGACAATATTTGCATGTCTCTGTAATTAATTTCAACATTAAGCTTATGGTTAACGGATTTAGCTTATATCACCTTTCTCTTCTGCTTATTGATACAGTGGGGCTTTCAAAAGATCGAATGATAGTGCCAGACTTGTTATAACCACTATCATGGGAATGGTGTTTGGATACTTTGTCGGGATTTCTTTTCCATCTGTTTCTCTAACAAAGGTATGTTAGCTCAATGTGGTTCTTCTGTTACAAAACGACTTCTGGTTTCTCATTCATCACAATCTTGTGGTCGTTTGCAGATTAATTTACCTTCAAGCCTTATGTCAACTCTCGATTATGCTTTCAATGATGATCATACGCGTAATACTGAGCGTAGTTTCCCGGAGAATCTTGGTTCTGGTAGTACTCCTTTGACACCAAAGGTATTTATTTCATTGTCGATTGATGCTATATCATTTGTAAGTAAAACAGAATATATTTTGTACGTTGAAAAAGCTTTAGGGAGTCCATGTGGGAGGAAACAGCATTTAACTCCATGTTGTGGTTGGGTTGGGTGGGAGGGGTACTTTTTAGCTTCTGAGTTGTGTTGTGGCATGTACAGTTGTTTTAGCCACTGACACCAATAAAAGTTAAAGCAAATGCCTTAAATCCCCTGATCATTCTATTTATTCTTTTAACTATATTGGTAGCACTAAGTTGGAGAAACAGTCACTATGAAACTAAAGGCCCTTGTCCCTGTTGCATTTAATTTCCTGCATCTTCGTTTGCTTTTGTCATTCCATTCCTGTTATTTGATAAGTATTAAATGCTAAAAGTTGGAAATACATATTCTCTTGGTTCACAAGAAGTCGGGGAAATAATTGTCTGGGTTTATGAAATTTGGTCTAATCCGAGCCAGAACTTTATAGAATTGCATACAGATGTGGATGAATTTGATGTTTCTAGACTATCTAATTATCCCAAAATAAAAGACTTGAAGATAGTGGTAAATGCATAAGACATGATCATTTTTCATTGGGAAGTGGTGTAGGATAGTTAGAAATGACTGCCGTGGTAGATTTAGAATCCAGAGCACCTAGACATTTGTTCTGAAATATTGATGGGTTGCTTTCCTTTTGCAGATATATGTCCCGACTAATCCTCGTGGTGCAGAGTCATTGCCACCAGGGATTGTGGTCTCAGAATCAGATTTTTATTTACGAAGGTTGTGGGGTGAACCAAGTGAGGTATGAAGCAAATATGTCTAGTGATATTGTTTAAGCCTGATTTAACAAAAAAAGATAAGAATGTGCTAATTGTATAGATTATATAACCTTTAACTGTCTCTTGTTAAAAGAAAGAGTGAAAGACTCTCTGCAATTGTCTTGCCCTTCATGAGCTGTTCTAGTAATGATATCATTGTGGCACGAACTTCATACTAGATACTTTAATGTTGTTAATGGTGCTTCAGGGTCAGCTTTAGTTTCTTATTTGTGCTCTTTAAAAAAAGAGCAATTGTATACCTAACATGAGGATTACAATTGCATTTTGGAACTGCATTCAACTTTTTAATTGTTTATGTACGATGGCCTGTTCTGATCTTAAATGTCTTGGTGTCGAAACATTGGCATAGATTAGTGGAACTTCTGTCAGTTTCTTGCCAATCATTAACAGATTGGTCATTGGACAATAATGTAGGCTGAGAAAGGGATTTTGTGCACTGCGTACAATTTATAAGTTTGTATTCTTTTTGGTTGGTGCTTTGTTTTGGCATAGCCATGTTACAAAATTGTGGTGTTTTCAGGATCTGACAAAGAAGCCCAAGTACTTGGTTACATTTACAGTTGGTTTGGATCAAAAGAACAACATTGATGCAGCAGTCAAAAAGGTTATAGAAATGAAGCAATTCTACTGAATATGATATTATTGATTTTATAGGGCACTAGCATTTTTTCATCGTTTCTCTTGACAGTTGACGTTGTAGTCCATATACTGAGTCTTATATTTTATACGTGGATTAGTTTTCAGAGGATTTTCAAATTTTGCTTTTCCATTATGATGGTCGAACGAGTGAGTGGGATCAATTTGAATGGTCCAAGCGTGCAGTTCACATCAGTGTTAGGAAGCAGACAAAATGGTAAGGCTTTGAGTTTAGTTATTACCTTCTGTATTTGATCCAACATTTCAACAATAATGTGCGAGTGTGAGCTCTTACCAATTCAGGAAGTCTCTTTTTACTAGCGTGTTTGGCTCCATGTATAGGACAAAGAATGAAGAAAATGTTGCTGTTTGCATACAATAACTAATCCTTTTGAGTTTAACTTTTATACAGTGACAGTGTGAAAGAATTTTCACTATCAGGTCACCAAAAATTACTATATGTAACCTTCCATAAAAGGATTTGCAGCCTAAAAAATAAGACATATTACATGTTACAACAAGTTAAAAAACACTGATAGTGTGAAAATACTTTACACTTAAAATGTATATAGGTTAATTCTAATCCTTTTCAATTCACAGTTTGTTATTGGTTTCTTATAACAGGTGGTATGCAAAGAGGTTTTTGAATCCAGATGTTGTAGCTGCCTATGATTACATATTTATATGGGATGAGGATCTTGGAGTTGAGCACTTCAATGCAGAGAAGTAGGTGTCTTTCCATGGTTTTTGTCACATGATTTCTCATTCTTTTTAAATCAGGAAAAAATATTTGGTGGTGTCTCTATAATCTCCTTTCATGTAAATTTTATCACCTGAATATGGCAGATACATTCAACTAGTTAAGAAACATGGTCTTGACATCTCTCAGCCTGGTCTTGAACCCAACAATGGACTCACATGGCAGATGACTAAGAGGAGGGGTGACAGAGAAGTTCACAAGTATGTTCATTGTGTTAAACAACCCCTTTTCCCCTGAATTTGGATATCACTCTAAAAGTTAACTTGTATTCGGGGTAAACAGGGATACAGAAGAGAAACCAGGCTGGTGCAGTGATCCACATTTGCCTCCTTGTGCAGCGTATACTCTTTCTCTCTCTCTTTCTAACATATGCAAACAGCTGGGTACAATTGCACCAATCTACCCCTTATTTGTGTGCACATAGAAGTATTAGCTTGGGCACCCAAGGGTGTGGCCTAGTGGTCAATGAAGTGGGTGAGAACCATGAGGTTCTCAGGTTCAGATCCCAGCGGAGGAAAAAAATACTAGGTGATTGCTTCTCATCTATCCAAACCTTGGTGGATAGAGTTACCTGGTAAGTGGTACCTGTTGCTGGTGGGAGGTGGCAGGTATCCCGTAGAATTAGTCGAGTTGCGTGCAAGCTGGCCCGAACACCACGGTTATAAAAAAAAAGTATTAGCTTGGCTTCCCTTGTTTGGAGTAACGAATCCTCTCAATTACACTAACTTCTTGTTTCCTTTGCATGCAATCTATTTTGTGTAAACATGCACATACTAAAATAAATTATTTGTTCGGCAATGTTGATGAAAATTAGAGCTTACTCACCATGATTAAACTCAGATTAAACCTATATGATCCTTTTTTTTTGAGATAGTACGTAACTTAAGACTAAAAGAGACGTGACAACGTGTGCTTTTTTATACTTCCATCATTTGTATTACTTAGCACATATCTCAGAGCTTCTTTTTGGTCCAGCTTTTCTTAGCAACATCATCAAAGTGGAACTCATTTAATGCACCTTCAACTAGAGTGAACCTACAAATTTAATTGCCTGGATCACACTGACTTATTTGACCATAGAGTAAGCCAGGAGCGAAAGGAGGGACTTGAATCCTCAAACTCAGTCTTGACAAGTCTATGCTCTACCATTAAGTTGTTTCTGCCAGCTAGGGTAGTGGCAAAGCACTACTGAGCAATTCAGCATGGTTAGGATATGTTATCTCCTGATGGCGATGATATCCCATTGCAACTTTGTGCTTCATCAAGCAAGAATAGATCTATTAGTGCTGACTGACCTATCTAGTCTTGTGTTGGTTATTTAATCCGCTAGAATACCATTTTTGTCATTCTTTTTCTTGTTGGGGGTGGGGGTGGGATGGAGGGGCAGGTGGCTGAGATATTTACAAAATTGGTTATTATTGGACTAGCTTTTCTTATCATAAGACTGCAGAAATTATTTTTACTTTATCGATTACTATAGAGAGGGGAGAGAACTTGTTCTTTATGAGGTATGCCATTGGTTGTACTTCTTATTTTTTGCGTGTTTTCGATTGACTAGGCAAACCTAATTCTGTTGGCTTAGCATTCAAATATGACTGGCACGTTCTAATTGAGTTGCATGTAGCATTTCACCTTTGGTAAATTGATTACATAAGACTCGTCAACAAACAAGTGTCAGCAATAGAATAATCCGATGCCTTTATCATTAGCCTGAAACTTATAATTATTGTCTTGGTCCGTCTTTTTTAATACAGTTTTGTGGAAATAATGGCTCCTGTATTCTCTCGAGAAGCTTGGCGATGTGTTTGGCATTTGATTCAGGTAGTTCTTACACTTGGTATCACTTGCATCTCGTCACAATGTCCATTTTTGTGTGGTGCAATATATTCAAGTACATGTTTGCTCTGGTCGCGAGTGAACTCTTCAATTGCCTATACTATTACACTAATTTGATGTTTGGTTGTAGAATGATTTGGTGCATGGATGGGGATTGGATTTTGCACTAAGAAGATGCGTAGAGGTTAGTAGTTCTCCTTGATACATTCTTATGCAAGAATGGTGGCGGAAGACTGCACCCTATGGTAAAATTGTAAAAGAAAGAACGCTGCACCCAGAGAACATAGATATCACCGAGACATTAAAAATAATAATCCTCTTCACTCTTTTAGGATATTTTTCTGATTCAATAGGGACCCTTTGGTATAATCTTATTGTTAATCTCTTGGTTTGTGCAGCCTGCTCATGAAAAAATTGGTGTGGTCGATTCACAGTGGATTGTGCATCAAGTTATTCCTTCTCTGGGAAATCAGGTTAGTGTATTAAAATTTCCATCTGGAACATAGATTGGTAGTTTGTCAATTGCATTGGTTGCTTCATTTTTTGACACTGTTCCTGTCTTTTTGGGAATCACAGGGTCAGCCCGAGAATGGCAAAGCTCCCTGGGAAGGGGTAAGCATATCCATTCCTTGCCGCCAATTTTGTTTGAAATATGATAAGCTTTTGTCTCAGGTACTAGTGGCTAAAAGTGAATGGCTTTTTCTTTTCTAGGTAAGAGAGAGATGTAGAAATGAGTGGGCTATGTTCCAAGACCGGTTAGCTAATGCAGATAAAGCGTACTTTGCCCAGCATGAAAAAACTCGAGTATAACATGCCTCCGGATGTTCTGTACATTGCTTCTTTCACCTTCTTTCTCCTTTTTTCCATTTCTAGGGGTTTGCTTTATTCTTTTTCTCAGTATCTGTTCTTTTTAGTATTACCTTTTCGTTTCAATATTAGAGTAGTGAAGTTCTATGTAGCTAGTGAACGCTAAACCATTAGATATTGGAAGGTTTCTTGTGCATAGAATGACACTTCAATATATGTAGTCAATGGATAATGCGCACTTAATCTTTCTTCCTCGTATGGTCGTTTAGGAGTGCAGGTAAACATAGCTGGAAACAGATTGCATTTTACATGCTAAAGGAGGAGTGAACCTTTTTGGCATTCAATTTAGAGAATGTGGATTGATCGAATAAAAATTAAAGATAGTTAAGCAATACAGGAATGAGAATTTACTTCCAAAGATACTGTGCAGATCCCATGCATTCTCGAGTGATGTTTCTAAGGAGAAGTATATTTTCATAATTTCATTTTTTGGTGAAGAGAACGTGCCAATGGAATGTAAGTAATATATCACTAAAGCTGATCGCATTTGGGGTGGCAATTTGAGTCCAAATCCATTCAACCTGCCCAAGGTTGGGTTGGTCATTGACCCACCTATTTGTTAAACTTAGTCCATTTAAAGTTAGGTTGATTTTTAATCCAAATTATCTATGAGTAACTTTGCTAAAATATCTTTAAAATGGTATTTATGCCTATAACAAAAAATATATCTTATTTGTTAATTAATAATATATAAGAAAAGTACACAAATTCATTAAAGCTGGGTAAGAGTTGGATAAGTTGAGGTATGACCCAAATTTTAGCTCATCTTTAACCAGTCTATCATAGCTTAAGTAACTTTTGGATGGGTTAATGACCCATATATTGACTTAATCTATTTTGACTTGTTCAAAATTAGCATAACCCGCCCATTTGATATCCCTAAACTCCACAAAATATGTACTAGTTCATTTTCAATCACATATATATATATTGGCATCGTACTTGTGATGGTTTCAGGGTCCAACATGATCATTTAAAATTATGGTGACAGGATATTGTTCATTCATATTCAGTCGCACCATTTATGGCTACTTTCGACCGAAGCATCAAGCAGCGCAATTCGATTACTTTACCCAACTAAACTGCCTAGCCTAAGAGAACCAAAATCAAAATCAAAATGATCAATAAATTAAAATATTTTACTTGCTTTAGCCGAGGCTAAAATATGCCTAAAGAAATTTCCTAGGAAGTGACAACATCATTTTGAACACTTTCCATCTATCTCAAAATCAAATATTGGCAAAAAAAAAAAAAAACCAATTTAAAAGATATGGTAAGTCCACTAGATCCTTTCATTTTCTTCTATAGTTCTAAAATTCTCATCACCCTCTCTATAAAGTCAGCGCCATAAGTCGGATATCACAAAGAAAAAGTCTGAAAGATTTTTAAAATTGAAACACTATTTCCATTCCCCTATATGTATGTAAAAAAGAATCGTGGAAACAACTCTATAAGCAATTATAACCCGTAAGTTTAATTAATATATGTTTATGAGCATAGGTCAAAGTTTTCCCATGAAAATATTTTGGATGATCCATATAAATTATAATGCAAATATAGAGTTCCACTTTTAAGTTTCAAAGCTTAGGTTCTATAATCTATATCATGGCGGCCTGTTATGTCATGTACGCTTAACTTATTTTACAAATCTGCTAGAAAAATATATAGAGCGTCTTTTCTATATTAAATCATTTATAATGTTGAGAGTAGCAAGAGTAAAGTAGGGTAGTAGTGTATAGTTAATTTAAAGTAATAAGTGTATGTGTAATAATTAGAAGTTAGTAACTACTTAGTGGTTAGTCGGTTAGTTAGCTATATAACAGTAAAGTAGGAGTTGATATACACACTGTAATTCATTTTTTCTCTTCAGTAAGAAAGAAGAAGCTCTTAGCTCAAAACCTTCATGATCGATTCTCTCTGATGAACTTGACATGGTATCAGAGCAATCAACCATAAGTGTGGTCGTTTAGAGTGACTCTTCTACCTGCTAATTCTTCATTGGAGAATTGTGATGGAGCTCAGCCATGGCGGTCGTTGACAATGAACTGCCGGAGAAATTAATTCACAATCACCCACTATTTCTCAATTCAATAGACAATTCGGGAGCTATGTTGATATCTCCAATTAAGAGGACCAAAAAATTATTCCGTATGGAGTTGGGTGATGAGGATTGAAATCCTAGGCCGGAATAAGCTAGGGTTCATCGACGGTACATGCAAAAGGGAAAATTTTGGTATAAATCTCGTAGATTTTGGGAGCGATGCAACGCAATCGTTTTGTCATGGATCATGAATTGTGTTTTACCGGAATTGCTCAGTGGCATAGTCTATTCCTCAAATGCCAGTGAAGTTTGGAATGACCTAAAGGAGCGATTTGATAAGATCGATTGTTCGAGAATCTTCCAAATTCATAGGGAAATTGCAACAAGTAACCAAGGTACTAATTCAATTTCTTCATATTTTTCGAAGATGCGAGTACTCTGGGCAGAGTTTGATAGTTTGGCCCCAGCTCTGGGGTGTGACTGTGTAAAATCTAGTAAGTCTATTGTGTTTATGGAGCGTTTGAAGTTGCTATAGTTCCTGATGGGACTCAATGAGTCATATGAACAAGCTCGTATCCAGATACTTATGATGATCCCAGTACCTATAGTGAATACGGCATACTCCATGTTAATGGAACGTGAGAGTCAAAGAGCTATGTCCAATCCTTATGACTTAGCTGAAGGAAATGAAGTTACTGCATTAATGTCTACTAAGACTGCGGGTGGTCAGTTTCGACCTAAGAAGAATTACAATCTCCAATGTGATTTCTGTATAATGAAAGGGTACACTAGGAAGAACTGATACAAGATAGTAGGATATCCAGCTGATTCCAAATTCAAAAGGAGGGGAGGATATGGTTCAACTAATTATGTAGTGATTGGAGAAACTAACCCACAAATGCAGGGCAACAAGAATGTATCTAACATGCTCAATCATGCCGAGAAGGGCAATTCCTCAGGATATGGAATGGGCCTATGTTTCACAGAGGAGCAACTCAATCAGATTCTGAAGCTGCTCACCAAAGAAGAAGTGCAGGAGACTACAGCTAATATGTCAGGTATATCTCATTCCACTGTCTACTTAGTAGACAATGCAGGTTGCACTTATGAATGGATCATAGATACATGTACGACCAATCACATGACCTCAAATCTTAGCTCACTCTCTGATTTATACAATGTAACATCTCAAAATGGAAAAACAGTGCACTTACCTAATGGAGCTAAGGCAACAATTTCACATATTGATAAATACAAGATAGGAGAAGGGCAAGAGATTAAGAATGTATTGTATATCCCAGATTTCAAGTACAGTCTATTATCTGTGTCCAAACTAACTAGAAAACTAAGATGTATTGCTGCATTCTTTCTTAACTTTTGTGTGCTTCAGGACCTCTACACTAGAAAGCTGAAGGGGATTGATAGAGAAACTAATGGGCTCTATCTACTGACCACTGCAACTTCAAATAAAGGACAAGAGTTAGTTCCACAGTCCATGAATGTGCAGCTAGATCAAAATACCTTACGACTTTGGCATAGAAAAATGGGTCACACATCATCAAAGGTTATGAAGCATATGTTGAATATCAATGAAGAACTATATATAAGTGTAATAAATATTTGTGAAGTTTTCCCCCTGGCCGAGCAGCCAAAACTACCTTTTCCTACTAGTAGAAGTAGAGTAGAAAGTGTGTTTGAATTATTCCACATAGATGTATGGGGACCATTCGAATGGCACCATATGATAGAAATAAATACTTTTTGACAATAGTAGATGTTCACTCTAGAGTAACATGGATTTATTTGTTAAAGCTGAAGTCTGATGCAATTATTGTTATTAGAAATTTTCTCCTAATGGCCCAAAACACAGTTTAACACTAAGATTAAAGTGATTAGAACAGATAATGGAACATAATTCCTTAATTCTGAATGTGTAAACATGTTCAATAGCTTTGGCATAGTCCATCAGAGGTCCTGCCCCTACACCCCCCAAAAGAATGGGGTGGTAGAAAGAAAATACAGACACATATTAGAGGTAGCTAGAGCAGTCAGATTTCAAGGGCATACTCCATTAAAGTTTTGGGATAAATGTGTGTTGTTGGCAATCTACTTGATAAACAAAATGCCTACACTAGTACTTGCAGGGAAGTCTCCTTGTGCATTGTTTCATAAGAAAAGTCCATCTATGAAACATATGAGAGTTCCAGGATACCTTTTCTATTATACACCATCAGTCATTGGAGACAAATTCCAACAAAGAGTTGTAGGTTGTGTCCTAATGGGGTATTTGACTGTGCAAAAGGGCTATTTGTAGTTTAATTTAACTCACAAAAATAATTTTGTTAGCAGGAACGTGACTTTTAGGGAGACAGTTTTCCCTTTCAAGGACTTGAAGATCAAAGGACCTACTATGTTTCAACCTAATCCTTCTTTGATCACACAGGATGTGACTACTACAAGCACCACTGATCCTGCTTCTACAACCACAATTGATTCTCAGCTTGAATATCACAGTGATGAGCAATGGGCTGGTATGGAAGATCTTCACTCAGAAGAAGCAACAACAAGTGAACCTGAAGATATAGGTCTGGCAGTTGCAATTGCAGATGAGGGTGCTAGCACACTTGAAAATGCAAGTGTGGACCAGGACATTGTGACTACAGAAGACAACCATGAGGCTCATCTGAGAAAGTCAACTAGAGATAAAGGTCCACCACTGTGGATGCATGACTATGTGACTTCTCAGGCCAGTTGCTCTTGTCCTTACCCCTTGAGCAACTACCTGAATTACAGCAGTCTATCACATAGCTGTCAGGCCCATCTGGCAGCATTTTCTACAACAGTTGAACCTACTTCCTTTGATGAAGCTTGCAAAGATCCCAAATGGGTATATGCCATAAAGGCTGAACTCACAGCTCTTGCAGACAATAAAACTTGAGAGATAGTGTCATTACTACCAAACAAGAGAGCTATTGGTTGTAAGTGGATATATAACATCAAGTACATGGAAAATGAAGAAGTTGAAAGGTACAAAGCAAGGCTAGTGTCCAAGGGGTACAACCAAAGGGAAGGTCTTGACTATCAAGACACTTTTTCACCAGTTGTAAAGATGGTGACAGTGAGGGCAGTGTAATCCATTCCTGCAGC